GGAATCAGACAGAGATTAAGTGACTTGCCCAGCATCACACAGCTAGCATTTGAGGCCACATTTGAACTCAGATCTTCCTTACTTCAAGTGCAGCACTTTATCCACTGTGCCACATAACTGGTACACTATCTGTACAAGTAAATTAGATTATGAAAATGGTATTGCACAAAAAAGAATCAAAAGTTAGTACCACAAGATTATAACAATATGTATTGACTTTAATTGCTAGATATGCTTCAGATACAAAGTACAGCAAAGGTAAAACCTTATAGATAAAACCATATCGAATTGATCAGCCTTGCAATTTACAACTCAATTGATCAACCTTATAGAACTGACACTGTTTTATTTAGTCCTTCGTTTGAATAAGCATTCCAAAATGAAAATTTTGATGATTGTGGGCAATCATACCTACGTTGTATTTGGATAGTCTCTTTTCTTAATGGTTACTTCAGATTATGCATATTTTTGTTTCCTTTTTATCCTCCAACAATCATGTACAGTATTCTGTGCAAGGCAGTGGGGAAGTTGTACAGTACACAGTAGTAAATAACCATAGTAATCTAGTGTTTGAGAAACCCAAAGATCCAAGCTTTAGGGATAAGACTCAACATTTGATGAAAAATTGCTGGAAAAACTGAGAAGCAGTTTGGCAGAAAGTAGGCATAGACCAACATCTCAGAGGGTATATATAAAGATAAAGTCAAAATGCATAAATTATTTAGACATAAAGGGTGATATCCCAAGCAAACTAGGAAAGGATGGAAATATGTACCTATCAGATCTATGGATAAGGAAAGAGTATATGACCAAACAAGAGAGAGAGGAGAGTACAGGAAGAAAAATAGGTTATTTTGATTACATGAAATTAAAAAACTTTTACATAAACAAAGCTAATGCAGCCAAAATTGGAAGGCAACTAAGAAAAAAAATTGCAGCAAGTTTCTCTGCAAAAGTCCTCATTTCTCAAATATATGCACAACTGAACCAAATTTATAAAAATAAGATCCATTCTCTGGTTGATAAATGGCCAAACGACAGAAATAGGCATTTTTTAGCAGAAGAAACCAAAGCTCTCAATAGTTACATTAAAAAATGCTCTAAATTACTACTGATTGGTAAAATGCAAATTAAAACAATTCTGAGATATGATCTCATACCTATCAGATTGGCTAACATTGACAGAAAATAAAAATCACAAATGCTGGAGGGGATGTGTAAAAATTTGGCCACCAATGCACTGTTGTTAAAGTTCTGAACCTGTCCAATCATTCTGGAGGATAATTTGAAACTATACACAAAGGGCTATAAAACTGTGACCCTTTGACCCTGCAATACCACTACTCAATCTGTAACCCAAAGAGATCAAACAAAATGGAAAAGTACTTATTTGTACAAAAGTGTTTATAAGCAGATCTTTTCATGGTGGCAAAGAATTGGTAATTGAAGAGATGCCCAGCAGTTGAAGAATGACTGAACAAGTTGTGGTATATGATTGTAATGGAATACTGTTGTGCTATAAGAAATGATGAACAGGATGGTTTCAGAGAAAACTGAGAAGACTTTATGAACTGATGCAAGGTGAAGTGAGCAGAACCAGGAGAACTTTATACATCATAACAGCAATATTGTAAGGATGATCAACTATGAAAGACTTATCTACTCTCATCAAGACTAGGATCTAAGACAATTCCAAAGGACCCATGATGAAAAATTCTACCCACCTCCAGAGAGAGAACTTATGAACTCTGAATGCAGATTAAAGCATACTTTTGTTTCAATACTTATTTTTATTCTTTTATTTTGTTTGTGTTTTCATTTGTGACATGACTAATATGAAAACATGTTTGGCATGACCTTATATGTGTAATTGAAATGAAAGTGCATGACTTCACAAGGAGTGGGGAGAGGTGAGAAGAAAAGAGAGAGTTTGGAACTCAAAAAAATTTAAATATTTTTTTAAAAAATTTGCAATGTGATTGAGAAATATTTAACAGAATAAATAAAAATATATTTTAAAATTCAACTAGAATTCTTAGAAAAGATGAAGTAAGAGTTTTTTTTTTAAAGAGGTAAAATTGTTGTAAAAGTCAAAGTAGAGGGCTAGAAGAAACTGGGAAAAGAAATGAGAACTATTAAAGAAACAATGGGAAAGCAAATTAACAGCTTGGAACAAGAGTAACAAAAGAAACAAACTTTATAAAAGGATTCCATTAGACAATAAGAAATATTAAAACAAAATCAAATTTTGAAAAAATAAGAAAATGTAAGGTATCTCATAGCAAAAATAAATGACCTGGAATGATATCAGAAAGAGATAGTCTAAATTAGGTTACATGAAAGCCAAGAGAGAGAGAAAGGGAGAGAGAACCTAGACTTCATAATTGAAGAAATCATAAAGGAAAACTGCCCAGATTTCTTAGAGCCAGAGTCTCATCCTATGACCAGACTCCTTCCAAATAGCAGCATTTTGCAGTGCTCAAGAAGCTTCAGTAACTCCTTACTACCTTTAAAATAAAATACTAGGGCAAAAATGACAAAAAGAGGGACAGTCAGTGTTGGAGGGAATATGGGAAGATTGCACACTAACACACTGTTGGTAGAGCTGTGAAATGGTACAACTATTTTGGAGAACAATTTGTGATTTCTCAAAGTCATTAAAATATCCATACTTTCTGAACCAGAGACTTCATTATTGGACTGGGACCCCAAGGAAGACATTGATAAGAAAAAAAAATTCCCCGTATACTCTAATATATTTATAGCAACACTTTTTTTATAATAGGTAAAAATTTGAAACAAAATAGATGCCCATTGACTGAGGAATGGCTCAACACATTGTGAAACATGAATGTAATGGAATACTACTGTGCTATAAGAAATGATGTATGATAGATAGAGAAGCATGGAAAGATCTCTTTGAACTGATGAAGTGAAGTAAGCAGAGCAAAGAAAACAACATACGTAGTAACTACAACAATTTATATGGAAAAAAACAATGACAGTAAAAATATTAAAAGTAAATGTAACAAAGTGATGAAGATCAAGTGAGACTAAAATGACATGATCTTTGTGGAAGTGAAGGTCCACAGGTGTTACACTGTGCACATGTTTTAAGACTTTCTCAATGTATTGATCAGTTGTGCTGACTTTTTGTTTCTTCTCTAAAAATATATGAGATGGCTCTCAGGGAGGCGGATGGATACATGGGATATCATGGTGATGTTAAAGACAGAAAACGTTGATAAAGATTAAAAAAATAAAACAGTAAATCTCTGTTTGGCATTTAAAACTCCTCACAATCTGATTCCCACCAATCTTTCTAAATAGATCATACATGAATACCTCTCAATTCCAGCCATACTGGTCTACTTATGTCTATTACATGATGTTTCATCTCAACTAATGGAAATGTTTTACATGATTGCACATGTATAACCTATATCAAATTTCTTACTGTCTTACAGAGGTGAGAGGATAGGGAAGGATGGAGAGAATTTGGAACTCAAAATTTTTAAAGAATGAGTGCTAAAAATTATCTTTATATGTAATTAGGAAAAATACTCTCAAAAATAAAATAAAATAAACAATATTTCATCTCACCTTCCCTCTTTTTATCTTTAGGCATATTGTCTTCCATGTCTGGAATATTCTTTCTCCCCACTGCCACTTCTGGGAATTCTTGATTTCCTTAAGGCTCAACTCAAAAGAAACCATTCTTCTAATGATTCCCAGTGATTAGTGCTCTCCTGAAATTACTTTGTACTTATATTATATATATTTTGTATTTACTTATAGACATGTGTTCCCTCTGCCTAAAATAGAATTTAAAATTCTTGAGGGCAGGTATTGTTTTATATTTGTCTTTGTGTCCCTAGCACTTCACAAAGGACTTGTGTTATAATAGATGCTTTATAAGTGCTTATTGAATAGAATTCAGCATTGGACTTAGAGTCAGGAAAAATGGGGTACACCCAGTAGCTCTGGGATTTAATTTCTCTGAGTCACAGGCAACTCTCTAAGTGTTAATCTCTTTTCGTAGAGGGATTTCTCACAGTAGAACTCTCACATCAATAAGATCATGAAATCATTACTTATGCATTAACTTTGGCTGAAACACCTTGCAAACAGAAAGCCTAATCTCATGAATAACTTCCTCAGTAGAATAAAATAGGTGAATTCATCCTTTCCAGTGCCATTTCAGGGTTTGCAAATGGTGAATATGTGAACATTGGCCTTCTAACCTAGAAAGGTGAACTCTCCTCACCTAAATGAGCTGTCTGCCCTCATAAATTAGATACTTTACTCTGGTTAACCATAATTCTGGGGTCAATTAACTTGGTGTTTGACCTATACATCTTTGAGATAAGAAATTATAAAAAAATCCTACTACACTACTGAAATTTCGGAGAAGGAGGAGGGGGACAGAAGAGATGCAGAAAGGTTAAGTGAGTTTCCAAAAATCTCGCAAATCACAGGATTTCTGGGAATGTAATTTATGGTTCTGTCTTTCCCTTCTTTCCATTTCTTTGGGCATTAAAGATAGAGCAAATCAGGTTCAAATAGACTGGGTTAAAGGTACTGAGAGAGCATGAACTCTGATTTTCTCTGCCTTTATGTGTCAATCTCCCAATGATATCAAAAGCTAGGGTTTTTTTGTTTGTTTAGTAGGTTTTATTTTTGTTAATAACTCTGCATACTACCACTTAACTTAGATATCCCAATGATATCAATAGCTAGGGTTTTCTTTTGTTTGTTTAGTAGGTTTTATTTTTGTCAATAGCTCTGCATATTACCACCTAACTTAGAAAAATGGGATATGATGTTTATTATTTATTAGACTGATATTTTGTCAGTTTCTATCACTGTAAGCAGACCAATTTAATCAATCTGAGTTCATTTAAATTTTGTGTTTTAATGGTGTTAATTAAATTAAGAAGAGATAATGGAAAAATCAGATAGCAAGATCATTAATTGGTATTTTTGTTTGTTTTCTACAGACACAATATGGAGCTTCAGTCTCTCCCAAACCTGAGCTTCCCCTTTTTTATACTCCTATTGATCTGGTGGATATTAGTGTAGAGATGGCTGGATTGAAGTTTCCGAATCCTTTTGGTCTTGCTAGTGCACCTCCAGCTACCAGTGCATCAATGATCAGACGAGCTTTTGAAGCAGGATGGGGCTTTGCTGTGACCAAAACTTTCTCTCTTGATAAGGTAAGAAAATATTTTTGAAGTTGTGTTAAATGACTTGCCAGCCTGTCATGCCTTTTTAATCATAATATAGACAGCATAATGGATAGACTACTGTTTGTCTTCCCAAGTGAATTATGGCGCTTGTAGGATGTTTGAAGATCATCATTCCTTCTAATGCTCAGACCCAGCCTTTGATTTGGGCCAGTGGCCATTATTCAGAAGTGGGAGGAGAATGGGCATTAGATTAATCACCTAAAGTAAACATATTTTAAAAAGTGAATTCCCAAATGATTGGCATGGAGCCAGGAGATCTCATTTCACTGCTATGGGTTGTATTGTTCTTCTTCAACGTGTAAATTCAATTCAGTTCAACTCAGCAATTATTTACCAGGCTCCTCCTATATACCAGAGATGTTTGCTAGATACTAGGCATACCAGAGAGACATAATACAATTCCTGTCCTGAAGGAATTTATATTCCATTGGATGAGGATGCATACTAGAATTTGGCATTTAGAAAGGCGGGAACATTAATGGTTATGCCATTTCTGAGAGAAATCCATGCCAGAAAAAAAGGAAAGAAAAATTTATCTGCGAAAATCATAAATGCTATCTCTGAGGAAGAAGGCCTCGGTTGCTCTTATGTGTCCTTTGTCATTGTCATTAGCCTTCTACATTAAGAAGATGTACTCAAAGGACCAAATAACATAAGAAAAGAGGTTTTATGTCATAATAGATAAAACCCTGAGATTCAATCATACCTCAGCAAAAGTTTTGGTGGTTGTTGTTCTGTAGTTTCAGTTGTGTCTGACTTTTCATGACCCCATTTGGGGCTTTCTTGGCAAAGATATTGCAGTAGTTTGTCATTTCCTTCTTCAGCCCTTTTTGGAAATGAGGAACTGAGGAAAACAGAGTTAAGTGACTTGTCCAGGGTCACACAGCTGGGAAGTATTTGAGGACAGATTTGAACTCAGGAAGATTGTTCTTCTTTACTTCAGGCCTGGCACTGTATTTATTGTGTCGCCTACCTGCCCCAACTACGGGCAAGTTGCTTAACTATTCTCAGCCGCAATTTCTTTGCCTGTGAAATAGAGAAGAAAATACCATCTAAATCACAGGATGGTTGTGAGGATAAGACCAAATATATGTAAAGTACTTTGAAAACCTTGAAGTGCTATCTGAATGTTTATAATAATTATCATAATTACTACTACTATTGCTATTATCTTCACTATGGCTCTTGGTCATCCAATACACTGTACTTAGAAGCTATGGTGAGCTGTGGAAAAGCAGAGGTCTGGGAGAGTATAGAGCTATTTGAGGCTGTCTTGTATCTGGCCTCAAATTGTTGTATGACCTTGGAAGGGAAAGGGAATAAACATTTTTTAAATATGTACTATTTGCCAATCACTGTGCTAAACACTTCACGAATGTTATGTCGTTTAATACTCACAGCAACCCTGTGAGGTAGGTGCTATTATTATCCCCATTTTACAATTGAGAAAACAGAGATAGTCAGAAGTTAAGTGATGTTTATATGGCTAGGAAGTTTCTAAGGATGGATTTGAACTCAAGTATTCCTGACACCAGGCCCAGTGCTCTATCTGTTGTACCTACCTAGCTGTCTTTTGGGAAGGTCATATTTATCTGTTTCCTCATCTCTAAAATGGACTAAATGAAGCAATCCTAACCTCTGATCCATAAACTTTTTTTTGTTTTGATAATTACATTTCAATATAATTAATTTCCTTTATAAGATTTCTTATTTTATTTTATGTATTTGAAAATATTGTTCTGAGAAGGGATCCAAAGGTTTCACCAGGTCTCTCATATATTTTCCCTTCTATCCCCTGATACTGCACCCACCCTGGGGCAGGCCTTGGACACCTCATTCCTGGACTGCTGCCTAGTGTTGTATCGACCTGCCTTAAATCTCTCCCATTGTCAATCCAACTTCTTTTCAGCCTCTAAAGTGAGTTTTCTAAAGCTCAGGTCTGATCATGGAATGCTCCCCACCACAAACTTCAACCCCCCACTCCCCACCTCATCCCACTCACTCCAGTGTCTCCTTGTGGCCTCAAATACAAATGCTGTGTTTAGCATTCAAAGCCCTTCATGATGTAGTCCCTTCCTACCTTTCCAGTCTTCTTAAACCTTATTTTCGATGCATATTCTTCAATCTGGCAACACTGGCCTTCTGACTATTCCATGGACAAGACACTCCATCTCTTAGCCCTGGGCATTTTTTCTGGCTGGCTGCCATGCCCAGGACACTCTCCCTTCTCAGTTCTGACTACTGACTTTATTTCTCCTATGCCCTGAGTAAAATCTCATATCTCAGCGGAAGCTTTCCTCAACCCCTCAATTCTAGTGACTTCATTCATATATATTCATATATAATCATATAATCAACTCATTCATATATATCATATATAATCCTAATTATATATAATATATATAAATATAGGTATACATTACATATATAATATAAAAACATACAATATATGTATAAATGTATAAATATGTGTATATATGTATAAATATACAATATCTGTATATATGTATAAATTATTTATATATAATATATATATAATTTCCTAATTATATATGTGTGTGTGTAGGTGTGTATGTGTAGGTATATAGGTATATAGGCATATATATATACATATATACACATATATAATATATATGAGAGTGCTTGATATATATAGAAACACATATATATAGACACACATATACATATTTATTTGAATGTTGTGTCCCCCACTAGATTACAAGCTCTTTGAGGGTGGGGTCTGACTTTTACATCCTTTTGCATCCCTACTGCTTAGTGTTCTAGGCACTTAGTAGGCACTTAATAAATGTTTGTTTATTGATGGACAGCACCTGATGAAAACTCCCACTACCATTGCAGATTAGCATCTGTTACACAATTTACCATCTTAGAGACTTTCCTGGGGAGCTGAAAGTTGTGTCCTGTCTGGGGGCACACATCCATTACATGTCAGGGCCAGGATATGTACCTATAACTTTCTGACTCTGAGATTAGCTTTCTAATTATTTATGCCATACTGCCTTATATTACAACAGAGTAAGAGTATATTAAAGGAAATCATCTTTCTCACTAAGGTTGAGAATAGTTCTCTTCCTGAACAACTTCTACAAAAGGGTGAGTTTGACCCAAATTGACAGGAGAATGCACAAACCATGAAAGAGGGATATATATATATATATATAATATATATATGCATATATATATTATATATATAATATATATGTATGTATGTATGTATGTGGGTATGTATCTTCAGCCCTATGCAGTGTTCCAATGACCAACATGCTTGATACATGATATAGTTCCCTTATCCTTTCATTTTAGCCTTTTTAAATTATAATTTAATTTCTTGATTTACTCATTTCCCTACCCCTACCCCACCCACTGAGAAAGCAAGAAATACAAAACTAATTACAAATATGAAGTCACGTAAAACAAAGTTTTGCATTTAAGATAAAGCAAAAAACAGAAAGAGGGAAAATATGTTTGACTCTGAATCCTTCAATTCTCCATCTAGAAGTGGCTAACATTTTTTCATCATGAATCCTTCAGAGTTGTGGTGGATCATTATATTAATCAGTGTTGCTAAATTTTTCACGGTTGGTTATATTTACAATATTGGTGTACAGAGTTCATTGTTCCCCATGGTTCTGCCCAGGTTTGTCTGAAACCATTGCCTTCATAATTTCTTGCAACATAGTAGTTTTCCAACACATTCAGAGACCCTGATTTATAAAGCCATTCCTCCATTGATAAGCATCTCCTCAGGTTCCAGTTCTTCACCACCATGAAAAGACCTGCTATAAATATCTTTCTATTTATGGGTACTTAGTCTTTTTCTTTGATCTCCTTGAGACAGAGAACTCTTAGCAGTATTACTGTGTTAAAGAGTTATGGTGGTTGTTCATTCTTTCAGTCACATTCCACTCTTTGAGACCCAATGGATTATATTGTCCTTGGGATTTTTTTAGCAAAGATACTGGAATACTTTGCCATTTCTTTCTTCAGTGGATTAAGGCAAACAGAGATTGAGTGACTTGCATAGGGTCACACAGCTAGTAAGTGTCTGAGGTCAGATTTGAGCTCAGGTCTTCCTAACTCCAGGTCCAGCCCTCTATTCACTGAGTCACCTAGCTACCTCCGAGGTAAAGGGGTAGGCACAGTTTAATAGCTTTTTGTATTTTTGTTTGCTTGTTTTGTTTTTACCAGGTCATCCTTCTTACTAGGAAGGAAGATAATTTTAAAAATCAGGATTAAATTATTCTCCTCCAATATAAAATTTTCCTTGCCTTAGATCATTATTATTCTTAAATATGACACAATTTTTTTTATACCTTTGGCCTCATACTGTCCCAAATGAGAGATTTCTGAGGATATCCCAAATAGGCCATTCAGGGTTATATAGATATTTTTAGATTGGTGTCTTGGATTCAACATGAAGTATATTAGGAGCCTTAAAATGCAAAGTATTATATACGAAGTATTGTATACAAAGAACTTTATCCACAACGCCTCTTATATAACACATTTAAAACTCAAATTTAGGGGCAACTAGGTGGCGTAGTGGATAGAGCACTTGTTCTGGAATCAGGAGGACCTGAATTCAAATGTGGCCTCAGATACATAATACTTACTAGCTGTGTGACCCTAGGCAAGTCACTTAACCCCGATTGCCTTACAAAAACAAAACAAAACAAAGCAAAATAAACAACAACAAAAACACAACAAAAAACCACCCCAAATTTAGCAAATATACCAAGGTATAATTTTTTTTTTAAAAAAAGAGAGATCTTTGGGGATAAAACGATTTTCTTTTATTTTCCTTGAATATGCACCACTGGTAGTTAGTAATAATTAATGTACAAAAATGTGTGAAGCTAGTAACTTCCAGAAATGAAGATCACTGCTTAGAGCAACATTTTCCCTAGGCAAAGGAAATCAGAGAGAACAAATATGCCCCATTAAAC